CAACCTTCTTCCGAGGAGTGGCTGGTGGGTTTGAACCGCCAGCCTTCTGGTTAGCAGTCAAGTGCCTTAGGCACTATGCTACCAGAGCTCCTAGAGACACTAGGACACTAGGCTTCCATAAAGATTACAGCCTAGAAAACCCTATGGGGCAGTTCTCCTCTGTCCAGTGTGGTTGTTATGGGTTGGAATGACTTGATGGCACACAACAACATACAGAGTAATTTGAAATGAAGGTTGTATCTGTTCCATTGTTACCTTCTTGGTTCCACCCACTCATTTCCCTCTCCCAATTATATTCCATCCCTTTTTGTGGGTATATTGACTGTGGTCTTTTAGAAAATTTGTATGATTAAGATGTATAGATTTACACATTTGAAAAAATTGGAGGGGTCTGATGGATATAGGGAAAACTTGCCATTTCATTCATTATTATGGATTCACATACTTTTGCACAGTAAAATCAAGTGGAATTCATTTTGGAAAAAATTTCAAATGCTTTATTTTTCGAAGAACCACTACTTACGTTTTTAGCTTTTGCTAAGGCTACATCTGGACACTTAGTTTGATCACTACTCTCCCAGTGCACAGGCAGTGCCTGCCTTTGACAAGACTCAGCCTCAAAGACTGCTGGTCTCAGCAGGGTAGGGTTCCATTTCTAGCCTATGACTGTAGCCTGTGACTAGAACAGAAAGACTGTTGATGCATTTCTGAGGACTATAGAGGAATGTTTCTGTTTGTGCCAATTCCTTCCAAGTTATTTCTAGTTGTGTGATACTTTAAGTGTTGGATGGACCCTCAGCTGTTGAAGAACATAGGGTATGGTTCCTATTACAATTAGCAGTAAATGTAGACTATCTCTGAGACATATTACTAACTTAAAGATAGTTAATGGGTATTTTACTGGTAGAGTAAAACATCAAATACTAAAGCAAGACTTAATTTTAGGATAACCTTAGAATGGTATGTTAGATTTCTTTGTTCTCACTGGATTAATTTTGAACTATTTTGCTCACAGTATTCATTTAAAAAGATCATTGTGCCTTAAATTGGGGCCACCAGTTGTTTAAATTGAGCCAGATTTGTAAATAGGATTTTGTGCTTAGTTTTTTCTTTGTACAAAACAAGATTAAATGGTCCTATAAAAATTTTAAGGCTGAAAAGAGGTTATAGACTGATATTGTGGTAGCTAGAAATTAACAAGATAGGTTTTTCTATGATTCAGATTAATAAAAAGAAAACATTTCATATTTCATTCCCTCTGGAATTCTAATTCAGAATTCAGAAAATTCTAGCTTTAACTATACTTTCCTTTTTCAAGCAATCAAGCCTAGAGTTTAAATATGACAGTGGTGGTATCATTTGTTAACTACATGATTGGAAAGTTATTGTCAGTGAAAAATGACACACAAATGGCATGTGTAGTGATGCTTAAAATAGCACATCTTCACATCCGTGCAAATTCCCTGGACTCCTTTTATGACCTACTTACGCACGGCTTAGAGAAAGAAGTACCTGGGGCATTTTAAGTTCCCATTTAGGAAATGGAATGCTGCATTTAAATGTTTTACTTATTTGCAGTGTTACTGTTTATTCATATTTCTCTCATAAGCACCAAAAGCATTTTCCTTGACTAAGCTTTTAAAGGTAGATTTGGCATGTCAGAATGTGGCTAGTGGTCAATACCTTGTTACATGGAGCACGTCAGTTTTGGGTTTTTTTTTTTTTTTTTGAAATAAAAAACAGAAGTCTTGGTCCTGTTTATCCAAAGATACTTTTACTTAGTCCTTAAATGTATCCAGGTTAGTTTTCTGAATGACAAATATCTGTGGCTTTTTTTTGTTTCTCAAATATAGAGCTGCCAAATGCTGTTAAATCAACTGAGAGAAATCACGGGTATTCAAGACCCTTCCTTTCTTCATGAAGCTCTGAAGGTTCGTTTCAAGATCCTAATTAGTTGACAAGCTTTACGATAGTCAATATTATAGTTAAGTCAGGTCAGGCTATTTTTATGTCTATGAAAGTACATATAGGGGCCAAAAGCTTTACAACTCTCTCTTCAGCATGTAAGGATAGGGGTGGGTGGGCGAGGGGGAACCTGTGATGGGGTGAAGGGATTTAAGAGACGTATCAAGCAATTCCATTTTATGGACTTTATATGTATCCTGATTCAAACCAACAAACTAAAAATACTTGAGTCAAGGAAGTTTGAATAATTATTTGATATTAAAAAGCTATGTTAGTCATAAGGCATGATAGTAGTGCTGTAAGTTATACTTTAAAAAATATAAATGTTGACTGATGAAATGTTAAGTTCCTAATGATTTGGTTCAAAAATATCTGAGGAGAAGGTAGGCAGTAGAAATACAAGATTGGCTGTGACTTGATAACTGTTGAAGCTGAGTCATGGGTACACAGAGCTCCATTTTATATTCTGTTATATATAAACTGTTGTGTATGTTAGAAACTTTTCATCATAAAAGGCTAAAAACAAATAGAAATATCGTCACTGTAGCAGAATATGATAATTGCTTGATACTTTTATTACAAAAAGAAGCTGAGTTCATTTAGAATTTCTGTGTTCATGACCATTCCCCTTTTTTACACATTGAGTCTTAGTTATTCTGTGAAACAGTATTTGGAAACAGTTAAGAACAAATCTCAAGCAAAATTTCTTTCTTATTTGTATGTTGTGGAAGATCAGAGCATGACGACTTCCTCCCTGCAAGTAGGTGTTTGATGTATATATGCTTCAAGTGTACTAGGCTTATTACGCTCTGCCATATTCCCTGCTTCTAACTTGTACTTTAGACTTATGCCTAGACTTACTCAGTATGTCATCACAATAGTAAGGAATTATAACCAACAGACTTTTAACTTATTATTTATTTTAAACTCTGGGATGCTTTACTTGTGAAATTTCTGTTTTCTGTTCTTGTAGGCCAGTAATGGTGACATCACCCAGGCCGTCAGTCTTCTCACAGATGAAAGAGTTAAGGAGCCCAGTCAAGATAGTGTTGCTACAGAACCATCTGAAGTAGAGGGCAGTGCTGCCAACAAAGAAGTATTAGCAAGTAGGTATATATTGTCTTGTTCCCGCTATGCACTGGCAGAAATTAGAGATGGGTATATGTGAATGTGAATCACATTAACCTTTTGGATATAATAACTAATTGTTGGGCTAGCCATAGTTCTAAGCACTTAAATGTCTTCATTCATTAATTTAACAATGATTTAACGGGCACCTACTATGTGCTAAGTACTCTTTTAGGCACTGCAGATAGAGTGATTGTTGTTGTTGTTGTTGTTATGTGCCGTCGAGTCAGCCCTGACTCATAGCGACCCCTCCTTGGGTTTCCGAGGCAGTATCACTACGGAAGTAGGATT